AGACTATAGCGATCGATTTCTTGGCAAGTACTATACACTTGTAATCATTGATTCCTTTTCTAAGTGGCCTGAGGTTTTTTTACAACTTTACTAAATTCTGATTTAACAATCCAAGCATTAAGAAACCTTTTTAGTCAAGAAGGGGTTCCTATGGTGTTAGTGACTGATAATGGCTCTCGTTTTGCTGAGAATGCAGTCACTACCTGATTGAATGGCATGAGGTGCAAACGCCTGTTCACTTGTCCCTGGCACCCTTGTTCCAATGGTCATATAGAAAATTTTGTCAGGACATTGAAAACTGATGTAGATTCTATTGCTGCTTCAACATTTAATGAACTGGAGAAGGGATTAGATACATTACTGCTGCAATATAGATATGCTAAATATTCGGTAGCGGAATAAACTCTATCAAAACTATTAACACTGTATAACCTGTAGGATAACCAATTTTGCATAGATACAAACAATACTGTTCAAATGAATCATCGATCGATTGTTTCCGAAATCAAAATTCACTTCACATAAAGTTCCTATCTCATTTTAAGCAATGAAATCAGATGCATGTAATCAGATTGTCATTAAAATTTCGGTTCATAGTTTCATTCATTCCATATGTTTCAACTAAACTTGTTGAATGCATTTTTTTATTATTTCAAGGTCAAAATACTGGCCTATCAGAATAGTTTTAAATGTTCAATACTATAAATTAAGAATCTAGACCGTGACTAAAAATCTCTTTCTCTGAAGGTACGACATATGGATCGATATGTCCAAGGTCATCACTCGTCTTTAAACTAGTGCAAGATAGTCATATTGCTTGAATTAATTAATAGTTTAGTATACCGTAATATGGCGGTAGTCGAACAGTCGTCATTTTGAGGATCTATATTTCACTATTTATGTGAGTTACTATTACTAAATAGAATTCCAAAACATAAAGAATACCGGCTACGTCAAAATTCAAGCCAACAAGTAATTGAAACAACAACAAGCGCTTCGTTAATTTGCAACGTTATACGGATTCAGTTGTTGGTTTGCTAAACTATTGAAATTCTTGGAACTTAACATGATATCACTTCATCTGAGACAGGATTTAGTGTTAAGCTCTTTTAGAAATCTAACAATTCAATTTGGCGACAGTGAAACAACGGAGACATATATGGTTGTTTAGTGTAGGGCCAGCGAAATGTCACTAAGCCCTAGCCAATTCATCCAGCAGTTGGGTCTTAGAATATCGAGCAAATCATCGATCCTCGTCAAGGTCAGCGACAACCAACGCGCATTAGTTAATCGTATGACATGGACTGGCCCATGCGGCAGTGGTCTTACTTTCGCTTGTATCTACTTTAACTAATATATTTCTGTAATAACGTCCTCTGTGTTGTACAGTCTTCTGAGCATTTATGGTACCTTGATACGTCAATGGGGTAGTCCACGCAAGGTGCTGGCCACGATGTGTGACTTCGATGTTAGCTATTTTGTCACACCATTCACGTCTAACTCGAGTAGGCCTCCAATCATTTCAACATGGATCATCTACGTTGGTGATCTACACTAGATTTCTACTAGTCGGAACTTGGTTTGAATTACAGACAACAATGTTCTGGTATATTTCTCTTAAATATTCACATTATAATTACATTAAACCTCAGTTCTTTGCTTATCAACACCAAACATTTTTAGTCATTCGAATAGACACGAAATTCAATGTAAATTTCGGGATGTTCAACAGCAATAGAGAGCTAAACTAATTTTCAGGCAATGATTGATGTACGTCTATCTTCAGATTATTTTTCCACATACTGAAATTCATCACTACATCAAGTGTATTAGTTACGTGCTAGATGTAGGACGTCAAGTATGACACATATATACACTAACCTTTTATCCTAGAATATCTCTTAAACCAGATAGTGATGTTCCAATCATAACTCACGCTAACAAAAGGATAACTCGTAGTGTGTTAGGGGTTAGTATTTGCGTTAGCACATCGGACAATGTGGTTTTCGATTAAGTGCAAGAGCACTCAAACAACTGAAGGGAGGGAAATAATATTTTCAACTGTTGCCTATGAAAACAATTAGTCTAAACATACTTAAAATTCAAAAAATACATTCAAAAATACACAAAACAAAGTTACTACGCGTGTTATTCACTTGAGCGAAATCAGTCGTTGTAAATCTTATTTGCAATTCATGTTCATCAGCCTGTGATTGGCTTACATATTTGCTCAAGGTCAAACGCCGATGTATGGGACCAATCAACATTCAGTCTACTTTTAATACTATTTGTTACTGTATCAGTTTGCGAAAAAATATATCACAGCAGTGGCGTCCAGATTAACGTACCTATAGCGTGCAGTTATTGGGTTCACACATGAGATTAGTTACTATTATGGTGTCGTCAAATTTTGTGTTCACTCAGAGTATCTGTATACAGATCGCTACTTTGTGTCCAGAATATAAAACAGGTAACCTGGGAGCGCTGTGTCCTGCGTTTTGACTTCATTAGTGCGTGGGATCTGGTATTAAATAATCAACAAATTGTTATGATTTCATGGGAAGACAAGCATCCGTTACGAATATGATTGTGTAGATCACCAACGTAGATGATCCATGTTGAAATGATTGGAGGCCTACTCGAGTTAGACGTGAATGGTGTGACAAAATAGCTAACATCGAAGTCACACATCGTGGCCAGCACCTTGCGTGGACTACCCCATTGACGTATCAAGGTACCATAAATGCTCAGAAGACTGTACAACACAGAGGACGTTATTACAGAAATATATTAGTTAAAGTAGATACAAGCGAAAGTAAGACCACTGCCGCATGGGCCAGTCCATGCCATACGATTAACTGATGCGCGTTGGTTGTCGCTGACCTTGACGAGGATCGATGATTTGCCCGATATTCTAAGACCCAACTGCTGGATGATTTGGCTAGGGCTTAGTAACATTTTGCTAGCCCTAAAATGGTTATGTGGCTGGTAGTGCGGTTAGTGGTGCAAACAGTCTCACGTAGAATATGCTAGGTACTTAAAACCTAAAAACGTACAGTGCTTTCCTAGTCTCAGTGACGAGAGAGTTCTAACTAAAGCTGTCTAGTCTCCATAGTATATATTCTTCCCAAACAGATCAGTACTACCTCAAATTACCTAGGAACCTAGTATTCCTAACACATTCGCTCAATGAGGTTTCATCAAAATGCGAAACAACTGGTAGGAATTAGGAGTAGTAACCAACTATAAATATAATGAAATCAGCAACAAGCCAGAGAATAAGTCATTTGAAACTATCTTCAAGTTGTTGACTAAGATAAATTGTAGCTTGTGAAGAAACTCTTATAATATAATTTAGAGTGATGGTACGCACTACTTAGTAGTATTTACTCGTTGTAAACTACATGACATGATGTATGGTGCGCACCACAAATTTATTTGATAAATACCGTCTATGAAACGATGACTAATAATATGCTCCTTCATGATTATCCATGGTTTGAAATAGGATAGAATTTCGATGTCGAAACTTCTTTGACTTCATTACAAACTGAAAACAATCGGGCGGATATTAGGAATTCTGGTCACAACTTATTAGTGAAAACGTTTGCAGATAACAGACGTTGTCCGAACAGCCTGTCAAGCAACCATCTCCACATTTTACCAGAAAAACACCACATGGGCTCTCCCTACCTACATAGCTCACTGTTGAAATGGTTGTTTTAAGACTTGTTTTCCTTTTTACTGTATGCAGATTTGAGAACTTAAAAACTGACGACACTCACCTCTTGGTAGTGTTAAGGAATCTTGCTCAAAGTTCTGGGATTAGTATGTATAGCCACAAAAGTCGCTTCGCAGCAAATGACGTGAAATGTTAGGTCAGAAATGTAACAAGATATCCCCTCACACAATCACACATATATATCACTTCAATTTGGTACATCCCTGTTTTAACTACACTATTGAAACTGTATCTTGCTAGGTGCGAAGTTTAACTTGCCAGTGGCTGAACACTTGGTGGTAGTAAATTTTTAGGGAGCTTAGTTAATAAGAGACTTACAACTACCCAGCCGACAACGTAACATAGCTATCTTGGTTTTATTATGAACCAGTTAACTAACCTTACATCACTACTCAGTGATGATACAGCATCACAGAAGTTTCATTTGATAAACTGAAGGTTGAGTACATTAGATTCGCATAGAACTGCCTAAGAGCTATCACGGAAGCCTTAGTGCTTAGTCGAAGGTTTACCATTTTGTTGAATATCATCCACGGATGATGGGGAAATCTTGTGACACACAAAATAGTTGTAGCAACTTACAACGCCCTCATCCCGTGAATAACCACGCAACAACACTGGGAATCAATACTCTAACTGCATTTAAGAATATTATCTATGAGTCGGAAAATAGCGATCCAATTTCAGTGAATGTGAATTGGCTGTTCGAATATGTATGATATTGTGTACATCGTAGTGCGGAGTGTTCAGTTTTAAGGAGAATGTAAATAACACGAAAAAAGTCGAGGTAGCCACATCCCCCAAGGATTCAAAGTAAACTCAGATAAGGTTTTAAGTGTGTGCATAATAACGCTAAGAATCCACCATTGAAACTTGCAACAAAGAAACAGCAAACTCAGTTGTACATCGGAACATTGAACCGCGAAATAATATTTTCGAGGTTAATTTCCGATGTCTGAAAACAAAAAAACATACTCTTTTACTGTGATACATATTTAGCCTAGATCACAAAATATTAAAGTATATAACTGAGGGAAAATCAATTTAGGGCTAAAGTCCCTGAATACAAAGAAAAGAAAATTTACATACATAAATACATACATACACACATCCTGACATAGATGAGAACTGTACAGACGTATTTTTACTGGGTAAATGCAATAGAAAAAGTACACATATCTTCATTTATAAAGGAATATTTCAAGAATAGGGGATATTAATCAAATCCCCAGGTTTATTGACAATTTCTTGATGCTTTTCAACTGACATAAGCATTTACAACATTTGACCATGAACTATATCGACGTAATCGATCAACTGACCTAACAATAAAATAATACATATTATTCGCTTGAACATGAGTTAATGTACACGCCATAGGCAAAGGTAAAGCGGCTACTTCACCAACCTGAAGATATGCAACAAAAAAAAAGAGAAGAAATAAAATAAAAGCAAAGTATATGATACAGTCATGGAATTATCACAATGAATAACTAATGACCTTAAGTAATTAAGTACAATGTTTTGTTTTGAAGACAATAATAACAATTAAAGACCCCATCTTATTGAACATTGTTTAAATTACGGGATAATTGAAATGGTTCATTTCTTTTTTTCTTTTTTTAAATATGTGCTGATGATGTTGTCTTAGAATGTCAGTGAAAGTTTTACAACCAAATCAACTAGTTGAAAGAATATAACAATGACGAAATTCTCATTGTGAATTACAAATATTGGTCGTCACTATTTGAATACACTAAGATAGATTCCCACTATATTTTCTACATTTGTCTACCTGAAGTAGTTTAACCTCTTTGATATCGGAATAAATACAACACTGTCTAATGGTTCTCAAGAGTATTCTTAAGTCAATAATTAATAATTGAACTTGGCGGAAACCATTATCATCATCATCATCATCATCATCATCAGAATTCACAAAATGACGATTCAGTTTTTAATATATATTTCACATATAATGTAGTTCAAAAGTTATTGTCTTCATTTCTAACGGTGAACACCTCTGTGGATTTGTCTACAGTCAGTCAGTCAATCAGCTATAATGAAGGATCAGGCACATAGATACATCGATTCAACTTTTGTCTATGGTTATAAATGATTATTTATTTACAATATTATAAAACAAATGGAATATAAACTAGGCAAATAACTGATCAAGAAAACTGTATATATAAAACAGTACGGAAGTTTACAGTGAATACATGATGAATGAATTCAAAGAAAGAGTATACATGAATATTGCATACTGAAATTATGAAAATTAGTTAGTTATAAAGATGAGAACAGTACAAGATTGTGTAAAATATACAACTAGGAAAGGTAACAATACATGTGTATATACTTTGATCTCTTCATTTTATCATTATTATTATTATTATTATGATTATGATTACTAGTATACACACCTTTTTCCATGGTAATGATGTTTGAACAGTGACTAAATTGACTTCAGATGAAGCATAACTATAAATTTCATAAGAAATAGCTGGTTCAAATGATCCAATTGGATATGTAATAGACCATTGTAAACAAACTCCTAGAAAAGAGAAAGAAGAGCAAAATAAAGCAAGATTTATGTTATGTCTAATTATATTTTTATTATCATTGCTACTACAAGTATTTCAATATATTTACTATGCCCCCAAATGCCCTGGTATGGCCGAGAGTGAGAAGAGTCCGCTCTCCTTCTTGAAATCCTCTCACATGGTCACATGCATACAACCACTGCCAGGAAAGTCCTACTCACTGCCTTCTTGCGGCGGGAGTGTTGTTTACGAAATTGAGAGGACGAAAAGCGAATGTCCGGCGCTTTAACCGGGTTGATGGACATGGATGGTCCACCTAGGGGAGTTGGAAAACCCTGATTCCAAATCAATGGTGCACATGGGCTCCAGTATCCTGAAGGAACAAATGGTGTATGAACCAATTGTTGGTCACCGGCTACCATGGGACTGCATCTCCTTACGATGCGCTACTGCCTTGTGGATCAGACCTTCAGGTCAAAGGCTCAGCGTGTGGCCCTCTAAGAAAACCATCTGCTTCGACTTGAGCACCCGGGCAGTATCACAGCCCTCATACAAATCAAATGAGATTTCTTTGGCGCATATGTATTTGGTGCCTCCTTGTACCATTATCTATGTGTTAAAATAAAATAAATAAAAGATAACATATTTACTATTCATCTCATCAGTCATGTCACCACAAACACTAGCACTCAACACAACTGTTATATACAAAACTTTTGATTCCTTCTAACAGTTCATCAAAAAGAGTGAGTGTAGACACAAGGTTCCTACCAATGTAGGCAAAAAATACCGTGCATTTAAAAAAGTGTAAAATGCATGCTTTACTCACAGACATATAAATTGGCAACTAACTGCGATTTGGATAGATTGTATGTCATTACATAATAAAACAGATATCATCCGCATACTCAAGTTTGGAAAGTTATTCTTTACGTAACAGATCTGCACCATCATTACCTAATTCTATCAGAACTGTTTCTATAACTTATTTCATTAGCTTTATGTAAGGAATAACAATATTGAGACAAGTAGAAAACAATCATGTTGATATGGAAATCAATATGCTTTATATTCATTGTAATTTTTAAGGTAAAAGTTAAAGAAAATAAACTAATTACAGGGAAAAAAATTACTGAATAATGTGTGCTCATCATAGTATAGACTAACTAACCTTCAGCCGCTTCTGCAATAGTTAGCTGAGGAACAGGTTGCAATGGAAGATGGTTGATATTAGTTACTGGTTGTGTTGGAACTGGAGGTAGCAAAGCAACAGGAAGTAGTTGAACATCGGGAATAACTGAGTATGGTAGAGAATTGGTTATTTGATTAGTAGTTATATTCTGAGCTTGAGATAAAGATGCCAAGTCCAAATATGATTGCTTTGAATTCCCATTATCCAGACTATTACCAGTGTCAAATGTGAATGAAGTTGGAACATTAATTGTGGAAATAATCCCGTTCTGTAAATCTTAATATGAGTAGACAAAAAAGTGTTAAGGTAGAATCAAGAAAGTACTTATAAAAGTATTTATAAAAACCCGAAGTAGATGATTAAATAATGAGGCATGTTGAATAACTTGCTAACCCTGAAAATCTCATTAGTCTCTGATCACTCGAATTTTACTAATCTTCATCGCTTGTAGAACAGGCAAGTTGTCCGTTTACCAACTAAAAGAAGAAGTATCTTGAGTAGCAGTCCGCTCTATATTACAATATTGACGAGAAAAACGGGTTATGAAAACAGATGTGCGTGGGATTCAAGTATATTATTGTAGTACGTTTGAAACCCTACATTATCGACTTGTTCCGATTATTAGATCGTCTTGATCTTATCACCGTATTATTTCTGATTGTTGTTAATTGCTTTCATTTCTAAATATAAGTGGATTCTATGTGCCTACTGAGTCACCGGTTCAGTTTTTCCCTTTTCCGAATGATTTTATTTATTTATTTATTTAAACATATAAACATTGGTACAAGAAGGCACCGAATAGATATGCGGCACAAAACCATTCGATTTGTGTGAGGGCTGGGATACTGCTCGGGCGCCCAAATCGAGGCAGATGGTTTTACTAGGGGGTACACCCCGAGCCTTTGGCTTAAAGGTCTAATCCACAAGACAGTGGAGCAACGTAAGGAGATGTAGTCCCATAGAAGCCGGTGATGAACAATAGGTTCACACACCATTTGACCCCTTAAGATCCTGGAGCCCATATGCACCATTGGTTTGGAATCAGGTTTTCCCAACTCCCACCAACCCGGTTAAAGCGCCGGGCATTCACTTTTCGCCCTCTCAATTTCGTAAACAACACCCCCGCCGCGAGAAGGCAGTGAGTAGGACTTCCCTGGCAGTGGTTGTATGCACGTGACCATGTGAGAGCATTTGGAGAGAGAGAACTGACTCTCTCCCGATTTCGGCCATACCAGGGCATTTGGGGGCCTTCCGGATAATCGCACTTACTGCTCCTAACACTTACCCACTACATGAGGTACCTTCTGGCTAGACGCAAACCTACCAAAGGTCGGACGTTACATTATCATTGGCGTTTTTCAAGCATTGTTTGCAGATGGTGCACCGAGTGACGCTAAGCATAGATGTAGGGTACTAGGTGAAAAAAGTAAGTCGACTAACCGGCAATAAAGCTTCAATTGAAATGGTTAGGATATATGTTACTTGTGCCTGACTAACGTCTACTCTGATGTACAAAGCTGATTTAGGAGAAGGTTAGAAAAAAAAAACGAGTGGTTAGACCAAGAAAAGGGCAACAGTTCATGAAGTTGTCGAGCAGTGGTCTGAGTATTACTGTTAGATGCATACTACATAATCGAGAGCGATGCCATGCACGTAACCAATAGTTACAGATGCTAGGTAAAAAGAGGAGAAATAGATTGTGACTTGGGAGTTGCATTCATTTTTTTTATCTACCATTAAAACTTGAGTGATACTATAATCGAAAGTTAGCAATGGTTTTGGTTCCGAGTCAGACAACATCATCGACATTAATTCATTTTCAGGTTCCCCAACAAGAAATATCCTTTCAATACATTGATTGCTATGATTTACTTATTGATTCAATAAACATAAACAATAGTACAACTGGGTAGAGTACCAAAATTAGTATGCACCATGGAAATAAGGAAATGAGATTGTGAATGGATAGAAAAAATATGGGGAGTATAATCAAAAATAAATAAAAGAATGAAAACAAACGAACAAAAATAGTAAATAGTGAGAGTCCCTTTAGTTATTACATGAACATAAAGGAAAATTACACCAGGACCTTCACGAGCTTCTATTTTGAGCCATGTCTGATATGTCAAGCCAGTGAGTTGTATCGGACAGGAAGCCTTAATGGACCAGCAGATACTAGTCTTACACAGTTTTACTTCGTACAACAGCATTATGCTATAAAATGACCACCTCTTCACCTAGTCACAGCATTGATAATCGGATAATCAATGCACGATATGGACGTCGCTGGGATGACAGTCGTCTGATCCACCGAAGTCAATGTTTTAAGATGATGATACTAATTGAATTGTTGCCACTGTGCCCAAACACACATTGTTGAACCTCAGCATTACTAACATGGCGCTGCCACCGGATGTCAGCAATCTTTCGAAGACAATGATGATCGAACAGAAAGTCGTCGCACACTTCCAACTAGGGGAGGTAAGGTTTGGCAATCCCAGAGCAGAATTGTTTTGACCAATGAAGTGTATACTCTACCTTTTACAGTCGGATTAATATTACGACGGAGCCAAAGGTGATCCAGATTACCATGAGCCTATCTGGCTTTAATTATAATTAGACGGATCTTATCAGTCACTCCACCGTCAGCACTTATACAACAACTCGGGCAAATAAACTTCGACTACATTGGAATTTTTCTCAGTTCGACGATAGATTTGAAAAGAACAGATATAAGTATCATCCATTGGAAAAATTTCATATAAGCTTTATGGTTAAAGATGAAATTGAGAGTAAAATAATGAGGAATGAATAAAAGCATACGCTTGTGCATACTTGAAAGAGGTGTGGCACTGTGTTTATTTATTTTTTTCGTATTTGTTGAGCCAGAAACCAAATGTTCTTCCCAAGCATTTTCTATATTAGTGTCTGATGTCAGGTCAATAGTATCATTGACCTGGATAGCTAAAACTGTACCTGACGCAGTTTGAGGAGGAACACACTGAAGTTCGAAAGTTTTTGGTAGAACAGATAATAATCTAGATGAAACAGAATTCGATGAAGTTAGATTCGGTTGTCGATTCGAAGGATTCACTGTTTGTATAGATCGATCTGGTGCGGATACCGAAGGAGAATGAGATAGTACAGGTAAACGAGGAGCTTGAGAAGAAAGAGTTCTCGACTGACCAATACCACTTGTTGGAGCAGGCAAAGGAATCTACCGGAAGAATCACGAGAAACACAAAAAAAATCAGACGGTCAATAACTTCATAGCACTGTCTGTCAGTACGTTTCAACAATAACATAAAGTAATTGAGAATATCACTCACTCGCTCATTAATCAATTTCGTCAAGTCTTTTGACGAAGACTCAATGAAATCCATTCGACCTGTTAATTGAGTTATTTCTTCCTTTAAACTAGTTACTGTTTTTTCTGTTGTCTCAATAAAAGATATATATTTGGACAATTTCTCTTTTAGAGCAAGTTTTAATTTTGCATCGAAACAGAGTCGAACTTTTTTAAGTTCTTCTTGAATTTCTGGTAAGCTTTTTAAGTTGCATATATTGTAACCATCCTTGAAACCATTATTCAATTTACAAACAGTATCTTGTTGCTCAAATAACCTAGGTTTTTTAACTGACGGACCTTGAGTACATGGATCACAGTCATTATGATTTTCAACAATTACATCATTCAACAAAGTGCAATTTGAATTAGGAATAGGTGTATTCTGTGTAATGTTAAAAGAATCTGTTACATCTGCGTTACAGGACAGATCTGACATGACAAACAATCCACTTAAGCATAAGTAAATGAGACCTACAATAAGATGAAAAAAAACAAAGGAGTGAAGATCCAGAAAGAAAGCATAAATATCAGGACATATCTTATTTTTTACCCGACGATTATTATAATTGTATTTATTGAATCTAATTTGACAGTTTCTAGATTTCTGGATTAAAAAACTGTTTGACTTGATTAAGAAGCAAAATATTCTTTTTGTCTTGTACATGTACTACCACTTATATACAATAAGTCAGTCCTAAGCCCAGTAGAACCTAGCACATATGAGCATGGGTTCACGTTGCTGTACCCTACTAACACAGCAAGATGAAACCATCGACACAAATGGTAGAATAGTAGATGAAATAACAGTATCAATGGTCGTAGAAAAGATTGGGTGTATACAATATGACATTCAAGAAGAATAAGGACACCTACAAACGGTTATCTCCTTCACATTAACTCATATTTATACATATTTCGATTAACTAATATTATTTATAATTATTTACATAATTAGTTGTAGTGTGGGATCAGAAAACTGGTAAAAAGAAACTTCTGGAACGTGTCACAGAGCCATATCCGATATAAAACTGATTTGCGACTGGAACTTCCAGTGGTAACTAACTTGTAAACTAGAGGCTCACAGGATCGACCAGGTTGCATTTTTTGGTACTAAGGTTACTGATACTATTTGGTTGCCCAAACCGAAGTAGATATAGCGTGGTTCGAATGTGAAATTAAATGGTTGAGCCGATCGCTTTAACTGCTAAATCATCACTGCGATAAATCCCCACGATTGTATACTCTATATACATAAAGTTTTATTTATATTATTACATCCAGACAACCATCCTATGATTCCAGGGGGGAGGAAGTCAATATTTTGGAACATTTCCAAACGGTAGACAAAGGTGGTGGTACGATTTCCGGACATCTGTTGCAAAGAAAGACCACAGACGTTAGTCATACTTACCTTAAATTACCTTGAGAAAGATTGTGGTCGTATATGAGCATCCTATTTACATCGCAGTTTTCTATAGAAGCGGTTGTCTTGGACACCATCAGGGTGGCGACTGATACTAACATTCACCCTATCTAGCGGTAACCCGCCCGTCGGTGAGTGGTTAAGGCACCCAAATCTCAAGAAAGACTGGAAATTTAAAAACCACTTCATCTAATTTGACTAGGTTAGACAGGAAGTATCACTACTGTTCAAGCAAAGTACCACCTAGTCAAGTGAAAGATCATCCATCGCGTAACACTTATACTTGGAAAGAGATATGACTTTCAAGTAACAAAATGTTTACTGTCAGCAACTAATAATCAAGACACTTGTCTTTACGGTAATATGACCAATTATCTTATACAAAGATTAACACTGAACCTTGCCTTCTCATTTTGAAACAACAGTCATAGCGTAGATCCCAACCACTGACAAATGACAGCGTATGTATGATTTCACTTGGTTTGTCTTTAGAATGTTTTCTTGATATGCAAGGTCTGGTTGGAAACAGAATCGTTAAGACAACTGTATGAGTGTCCTTGTTCGTAAATCATTATTTTAAAACATGTAGTGAAATACTGAGGTAGTGAATCTTGGATAGAACAATCAGGACATGGATACTTTCTTACTTCAAAACTTTTGTGAGTCAAAACTCTTCAACAATCTTGATGTCATCCAAATTCAGTATGCAAGAGGTTTACACAACAGGAACAATTGGTACTTAGAACAACTGGTCTCCAAAATTCTTCATTTCCTTACAAATACAGCCCGTCACACGGTAACAATGTTAACTGGGATTTTTATGCATATTCTGTTAACTATTAGAAGCCATGACCATAATCATATTTGGAGCCAAATACTTTACCTAGTAAATAGTGTCTGGATTTACTTCCCAAGATAATTATTTGAGTGCGTAATGTTGCGCATCTGGGGAAATGATGTGTCCGACCATCTGAATCATTGTTTGGTAGACGAAGACGATGAATGTGATTGGTCGAGATATAATACTTCTGTAAATCATGTGTCATACAGGGTAGCAATCTGGGCTACATAAATTGATGGATAATACACACCACATTTAGTTAAATATTTTTTGTACTAAATCAATAAAGTAAGTTGGATGTTCTCTTGGGAGGAAGTAGCGTTCTGTGTGAAACTGAGCTAAGCATACCTTGGAGATGATCACCTTCAAGTGCTGATGGGATGATAACATTTAACGTACAGTTCCGGGGAGGTTAATATATATCGAGACCCAAACATTTAGGCTCAGAAACAAGCCATGTTATCATTTTGTTCGAACAATCCGCCCAACCACATGTTAAGGAAATTAACAGTCGTCCTAACCACAGCAATGTGAAATGTAGCGGATTTATTGAGTATCGTGACACATAAACAAGGATTCAGGGCGTATAATATCCGACACAACTACGAACTAAAGTCTGGTATACTCAACTTTTAAAGACGATTACCACAAAGAATGTGCTGTCTATGATACAAAAGATATTCAGGTATATTTTATTAAGAAACTATGCAGTCATATTTGCACAGAATGTGTAACCGAACCATGTACAGTTGTGAAGTACATATCAAAACAAACAATAACATACCGGCAATACAATACACGCGTAACCCAGCAGTGGAGAAGAGGTGAGTGCTTAGTTCGATGCAACAGAAAAGAGCATAACCATAATGCAACAACCCACACTAATCAGCTCTTGTTTATAGAACTTCAAAACAGTGGGAGTCTTGAGCGGCTAGCGAATAGTTAGTAAAACACAGATACAATAACTACAAATCACTTTGCAGGATCGATTTGTTTAAATGAACTATGTAGTAGTAGCAACCAAAGCGATCAAGGTGCCGTGGTGTGACAAGTGGGATACCAATACACATATATGGTAGTCAAGGTTTCCAAGAAATATAAATTGACGACATATAAACTTCCTAATAATTATGTAAAACACTGTCAAGGTCGTCAGCAAGTCCTGTAACCTTGACGCCATACTGTGGTTACTTTGATCTACAATTGTCTAACAGTGATGTAGTGTTCTTGATAAATCTCGGTTATTTTCGAGTTAATGTACAGTGATCAAATATTATAACGGCTATGTACTTACGAAGTTGAGCACAGAGTTTGTAATTGCATAAGGCGGTATCACAAAGTCAAACAAAACGTACCCTATTGATATTCTATAATAATTAAATATCTTGTCCAGGAACAACATGGTATTCGCCGTAGGAAAGTTTATTTTGACATTCACCGTTCCCATATTTTTGTGTTTATTCGATCGGGTTATCCATTGAACCCTGTATGCGCTTCAAGAACGAGAAGTCTGATCCTAACGTTATTTCCGTTTCTCAAAATCTTTCCGTGTTCTTACCCAACAAATGAACCATTTTGATCCAAGGAATCTGTCCTGAGCTTAACGTTTGCCATGTTATTTTTCTGTCTGAGATTTACCCTAGTCAATAGTTGACTATGTTTTTTGTCTCAGCCTTCAGTTTTCCACATCAAAGATAGTTTTGGTGTATCTAAACCTTCTGTAACACCCGTTTTTTATCCACTTTACTCGTTTTGAGTGTATTGCTTATTGTTTTACGGTCGTAAACCTTTGGTAGGATCTATTAAGCAACTCACACCACCAGAGTCATGAAGAACTCATGCAAGCGGCCTGGATGGAATTTCGCTGTCACCTATGGCATGCAGTGTGAAAAATGGAAAAGTTGGTTTCATGAAGCATACACAGATATTACAGTAACTGCTTAATACAGACTCTGTATATCGGATTGTAGGTGGATATGTGGCACATACAACATAAATGCTGAGGATTTGCTGAGCAACATCATCATTATTTTGACAACTTTGAGAAAAAGGTTGTCAGCAAATCTGAAAAAAGACAGTTCTGGAACGGATAAACAAACAAAGACGTTCAGTGAAGTAAAGAAGAGGATCTTCGATAACGTTAGCATCAATCGAACATTCATCGACATTAGTGAGGATATGCAGATGCTCAGCACCACCATAACATCGAGTGTAAAGGACTCTCTCAGCAAAGTTGGGTTTCTTGGCACAGGCTCCACAAGTGCAACTGTGGCCCCCGAAAACTCTGTAGTCCATTGGACCACGTTAAAAGAGTTAAAAAGTGTCGGGTGTCACCGCCCGTATCTTGTAGTGAAATCAGCTGGTGATTTGACTACACAATCTACACCTAAGTTTATCCAACCGGTCTGTAAAGAGCACAGGGATTCGAGACGCATTTCAACTCCCTAACAAGGAGAAAATCGACCTAAACGTACCAGGAAACCTGGGAAAATGGTTACAGTTCGCGATGACTCACTCATAATCATGAATCCTAAAGATAGCTCTGACATTCCGCTCAGTCTGCAGGACGAAAATCACAGGATGCTCTGAAAATAGTTGAATTACGAATATTATTAAATATTACAAATATGTTATTCGTTTAGTTGAACACGAAGCTCAAACTCCATAAAACAGAGCTACCGATGGTTACATGGCTCACTCGGGGTAATGACTGCAAGCACAAAAGTCACTTAGTGTAGCGTTCACCAACACTGTCGACGTAGATGATGTTCTGACGGCTATTCACCTGCGGCAATCAGATGAGGTTACAATAATACTACTACATGGCACACCATATTCTGAGTATAATCTCGTCAAGAGCGTCTCTAAGGAATCTCGCGAGACATCCTTTCGCGGAAGAAAACATAGATCATGAGTACGTAGACACCGATATTCAGTAGTGGAAATTCATTAGGCAGTCGTTGAGGCTCAAGAACATATTGACTAGACAAGTGGTGAGACTAACCAAGAAGGATGAGGATTCTAGACCCCGATTATTGAAGATAACCCTCGGATCCTCCCATATGGCGGCTGTCACTTTTGAACTATTTCATGCCAACAGACGTCGGTTGCCAGTTGGAATCCACGTCCATTTGGATAGACCACATTATGACATGATTGAGCACGAAGACAA